AAAAGAATGCGCTCAATATTTCCAATTCCTTTGGTTTTCTTCTGATTGCCGAGCTGGAAACTGGAATGTCAGGTTAACAAAAAGGGCATGTTTAACATTTACTGTACTATGCTTCCAACCATGACGAAAAAATTAGCATTTTTATTTGCCACTTTTTGAAGCTTATAGATAAGATGTCGTTTCCCGCCTTATTGTACCTAATTGGTCCAGTACATTTAACTTTGGTCCAAACACTCCACAAGCGATAGCTCTTTAGGCCACCTAGGGAAAAGAAGATTTGAAGGCAATTCAGCTTCATCTTCAGACTCGCGACGCACTAAGAGATTATTATCTTATACTTTCACCATATTGTACCAATCAAATGGCTCGGGATGGGCGATCTCTCCGATTAGGAGCCCAGCGACTTCTAAATAACATACGCCTTTTTTTTTTGCAAAATTGGGATCTGCTTTCCAACTAAGAACCACGCTGTAAATTATTGAAAATTTAAGTCCAAAAGTCCAAAATGTTGTTTTTTAACCACACGCCTTTTTTCCTCAGCTCAAAAATCAAAAAAATACAGTTGGGAATTACTGTAAATGAACTTTCGTAAAGCGAAAAAGACTTTAAAAATTTACATTATTCGGGCACAATTTTGTAGAAGTACGGAAAAATAAGCGTCAGGAAAAAAAAAGCAGAAAGTCTTGTAACGTTCTGATAAATGTTGTACTTGTTGGTCAGAAGAGGTTATATTATAGTGCAAAAATTGCAGTGTTACTGAAGTTCCCATAAGAAATGCTTCATTAATAAGAGTTGACCCGAAAATTGTCCTACTATTCATTCCAAATCTTTTCCATGCCCTAACAATTTGAAAGGTTTAGTCTTAGATTTTCACATAAAGGCGATACATGCCTTCTATGATTATGGTGATTCCGATGGGTACGGTGTAAATTTGTAAGTGGTCAATCCTCATCATTTAGTGCAACTTCGATGCAAACTTTTACGGTATAGATTACCGTATCTACGCTGAGCGTGCTGGATAACACCATCAGAGAATTTTTTAAGTCTCTGGAACACGCAGCTGTCACTAGTGTTTTACACATAATTTATTAGGTTGTACACAAAGTCTTGGAAGTTTTCAAGATTGTATTTCTCATTTCATTGACCCTCTTTTTCATATTTTGACCAATATATTATTAACCTTGTAGCATTAGTAAGACATACCACAGGCCCTCCGCGGATAACTCTTGCAGAAAAAACAGAAAAACCCAAACTTATGCGGTCAAATTTCAGAAATTGTTTTTCGCTCAGGTGAACCGTCAATCAATTCAATCAATTGAAGCTAGCGGCGCTTGGGTAGGTTAACCACGGGTGCGGACTATGTAGT